TATAATAACCCCTCCCCTCCTATGAGCATCCAAAAATACCCCCTCCCTTCCCTCCCACAGGAAAAAAATCCAGATTCCCAAATTGGGAATTGTTGGGAATTTCCTTGAATTCCCAATTCGAACACCAACATTGGGATTTATTGTTGGGAATTTCCTTCTAATACCCAATAGAAAAACAAAATTCCCAACAAACTAACATTGGTAATCAGTGCCACGTTACCAATTTCGTTTTCTCTGGGAAGTGGATGGGAATTCGTTGGGAATTCAAGGAAATTCCCAACAAATTCCCAATTTGGGAATCCGGTTTTTTATCTGTCCCCCCAAATTTCCAGACATGCTCTATTGACCTATTTTATAATAGGCACATGGTAAGACCAAGTCCAATATTGAAAATAATTTCTTGGGAATATTAAACCTTTAAGGAATTTCGTAAAGCATGGCTGAAAACGTGTTAGATGCTGAGAGTAGAACTGATACAATTCTGACTTCGGCACATGCCATCACAGTTTACTAATCACCTGAGATTTAAACGGAGCGCATTTTAATACCTGTTAAACTTTGTATATGTTCTTTGAGTTTATCAACAGTCTGGTTCACGTCGAACTCAACCTCGTAGTTTTTTTTATTCCACACGACTCTAAAATTCACTAATTCTGGAGGGGGCTTGTCAGAGTTATCTTCCTCGGCGGAGTCTTTCTCCTTTTCCTCGATACTCTGTTGTTCTTTTGCACTGACTGAGGGAATGTCTTCGTCGCACACATCATTGTTATCCGCTTCATTCTCGTCTGAACCAACTTCGCGATCTTCTTCTACGTGCAACTTCTGTTGCTGTTTTTCAAAAGAAGCAGCTGAAAATTAAATAATAACGAAAMATAAATACAATTTATTTACCTTGGTAATTATAAAGATTAAGAACTTGTTAATGAGAAATAACAACTGAAAGATTAGTAATAGAACTCACCCGTTTCGTCTTCCGCCATTTTGAATTTTTTCCTCAGACACAGGAAACCCGTTAGTAAATCAGCTGGAAAATCAATTGGACAGGCCGACCTGTGTAGGGTAGGGCTGGGGAGAAAGTTTTTTCGAAAAAAAAATACAAATTTGTACTGTATTTGATTTATAAGTCTTTTCCTTAGTTTTTAAAGCATTTATTTTTGTAAATTTTTTGTCTGAATCCCACCCCCCACCCCCCTCCCCAGACACAGGAAACCCTACAGTAAATCAGCTGGGTTGACAGGAAAATGTGTGTAGGGTAGGGTTGGGAGAATAAGGATTCTTGATTCAAAAACGCACAAATTTATGTTGTTTTTAATCTATGACTCTTTTCCTTAGCTTTTTAACTTTTTTATATTTTTCAATTATTATGGAGGAAAGACAGCGCACAGGCAGCCCAAACAAGAAATTCACGCACGTTATATTTATATTACTTTGGGTTTCCTGTGGACAGACTAATCAAAGATGGCTGACGTTCCACAAGATGCTCCTGATCGTAAGTGAAAATACTAAGAATAATGTCTAATAGTACTTCCCTAATCCCTCGTGATATTTCCCAGACTTTTGTACTWATCTCCAGGTTATTTATATTTGATCAGGTGGTCAATTTTTGGTAGAAGTATTTTTAAACGATTTTCAAGAAGTTTGCTATCGGTTTTTATACCTCAGAACTTTGTTTGTCTTTCCAGATTGTCCAGGAACGGAAAGCGATAAGGCAGGAAAGGCCTCTGCATGTCAAGGATGTCCAAATCAGTCAATATGTGCATCAAGTAAACCAGTAGGGCCTGACCCTGGTAGGGAATATGTTGAAGTTTACA